CAGAGTTTAAAGTAGAATGCCTTTTTGTTATTGCTGGAGTAAAAGAACAAACTGAAATTCCCCTTACGCAGGTAATGGGATTAAAAATAGCCGCGGTCTTAGCGCGCTTCCCACGCAGCGCCCGCAGCCCGAACCGGAGCGCCGCTCCGCGGCTCCACGCGCACATTCCCGCCGGGATCCGCCACACGCAGAGGCCACTTGGCCGAGCTCATGGCCCTGAGCCGGGGGGCTGCAGCAAGTGACTCGGGGCGCGAGAGGCCGGCGGGGACGGCGGGTGCAGAGCCCCACGAGCCTCGTGCTGCTGGGGGCCTCGTGCAGGCCGTGCACCCGCTGCGGCTCGGAGCTCGCGTCAGGCAATTCACAAGGTTAAATAACAGATGCTAGATGCTGAAGTGCCTGCAAATTCCACAAATTCATGTATTTACACACGTGTCCCTCGTGCTGCCGTGGTGCTGACCTGCTGCATGGCACTGTGTTGCCGCTCCCGTCCCGCTGTGCTTTGCCTGCGCGAGCAGCGTCCTGCCCTGGTGCTGGACATGTCCTGGTGGTTGGCAGCAGAGCCCCGCTGCCTCTTCAGCCGTGGCGGATTACTGCACAAGGACCAAAGAAAAGCAGCAACTGAGGTTTAACTCCCACCACTGAGTTCCCTTTTCCCCACGTTTGGTGGTAGATGATGAGCAGAGCAGGGCTGTAACGCGAATGCGTAAGCGTGAGTGCTGGGGAGCAGACTGCAGGCTGATACGAAGCACCCGGGAGCAGGAGCGTGCAGATTGGTGCCAGCCCAAGGCTTTCTGCTCCCTTTTCATTAACATCYACTATTTCTGTTACAGTTTTGATATTTGCTGATGCTGTTAAATGGTCAYGGGAACAAGGGTGCATAGACAAGGACACCCACAAAATATTTGCGTGCCATTGCTGGGAAGGGTAGCGGTGTAAGGGGTGTTGCAGCCTCAAACTTGGCAGCAAAATGTTGAGGAGGACTCTAGGTGTGAGGGAGGTGAGGCTGGGGCTCAAGAATCCCACTGCGTCCAGCACGGAGCTGTGCTCCACTTGGGCTGGGGAGAGTGTCTGCAAGGGAATTTGTCATCCTCGCCCATCTGTCACCGCGACAGCCGCTCTCCGCGCCTTATTCATAGCAGCTGTTCCCTTTGCTCCAGTAAAATAGYTGGATTGCAAGACTGGGTCTGACATTTGGAGGCTGATGATACACTGAGTGGTCTCCCTCGGGCCCCATTGGAAAAGCCTTTTTTTTTCCCCAAAGTGTTCAGAATAAAATATGGACCTTCTACAAGTCAGTGGTATAGAGCAGATTTGAACCAGAGCTGGAAGGGGGTGGATAGACCATTGAGAGTCTTTTGATTATGATCTCTTAATATTTAATGTGCTCTTTCTTGTTAATATGGCTACAAAGCCAGGTTACTCTGGGACATGGGAAGGAGGGTCTGGGTCTTCATCCTGCAAACAAAASTTGAAAGTTGCCAGAGAAAGGAGCACTCAGCAGTTCCCTTGACTGGATGTGGAACAGAATATTAGGCCATTTTCATTATTTACTGCCTATTTTGGGGACTGGTTCTCTCATCTTTGAAGGAAATGGAAGCATCTCTGACTGTAATCCATCATAGACTGTATGCCAGATGAGTGTTATAATCACTAGTGCAGTCAACGGGGCTTTAAGCCCAGCCCTCTTCCTGCAGGCTGTGTTTTACTGAAGCTAATGGCAGCCCAACCCTRCTAGCTGCCTGTTTTGTTTTATTCCAGGTTGCTGAGAAATAGCAACAATTGGTGCTCTTTTTTTTTTCTATTGAAGCCAGCAGCCCCAGCAGAAATTTTCAAATAGCCATCCTGATTCCTYCACGTCAAACATGTTAAATAGTAAGATGCAGGTTCAATGATCTACTTTCTTTTCCTAAGAAAATTCTCCACCATTACAGACAAATCGTAACAAAGCTAATAATTTTAATACAGGTCAAGTGAAAATTTGATCCAAAACAAGAATAACCATCACCTCATAAGTCAAATGCTGCAAATACTTTTTTATTGTTGTCGTTGCTGTTACAGTCACAAATTGTGTGGCATTTTGCAATGTATCTTAGCAAGCATCAAACTAGCTAGAAAAAAAACTGTCATAAAGACAGACGATCTCCTGATTGGGGAAGGCAGAATTACAGTTTGTGCTGGTCAATTCAGCTGCTTACAAGACTTGTTTRGGCAAGGACAGGCTATCGATATGACTTTTAAGAAAACTTGACCTTTATCTCCTGTGGAAGCATGTGATGATTTGAAGAATCCTGAGACAAGTGACAAAATCTGTAGCGATGAAGACGCCCTCYCTGTGCATCTCTATCAAGCCTGAGTGCTCCGTGTTCCCAGCAGGTCGGTGTCTTTTTTTGCTGGACTTGTATAGCAAGTCAGGAAGGCAGGAGACTTGAGATGGTAGTTGCAAGAGACCTGCAGAGATACAGGGAGTCTGCCCTCCTCTTCCAACCCCAATTAAATATGTCCTCTATATGCATAAAAGACGTTTGTTCCGCTAGTTGTTTAAGAACAAAGGAGCCAAAGATGGAAACTCAGCCATCTTGTTCCTCCATTACAGACATGTTCCCCTTCTCTTTGTACCTGTCTTATGTATCTGTAGGCTGCTAGCCAGGTTTTGCTTTCATTGAAGAAACCATTTCCTCCTAAGCTGTATGTCTGGAGCCTTGGATCATTCTTATGGCCCCTTGAATCGGTCTTATCATGAAATGCAGCTCCCCAAGCTTGCCAATACTCCCTCAGAAGCCCCAGCAGTGCTGAGTGTGCTGGAGGGATTGCCTCGTATGTCTTGCACACTGTATTTTTGCTTGTGAAGTCCCAAAGGTCCTCACCTCTGCTGCAATACAGGGACATTGCTGACTCCTGTTAAGCTTGTTACTCATAGGAATTTCACAATTTCTTCATGCATCAGGAGCTGGAAATCCAACGGGAAGCAGCACAGACGTAGGAAGGAAGCAACTTGGGCAACAAACGGCCTGTGAAGATGTTTGTCCTGTGTGCCCAGGAGCAAATCCAGAGGGCAGGAAAAGAGGTGTGTCTCCTTGGTCCGTTGTCCTGTGTACTGCCCYAGGTCACGCACAGGGCCGAGTGCTTGCTGCTGGGGTCACAGGCTTGGAGAAGACAACTGAGGGAGATGTGAGAAGCATTTAGGGAAGGTAGGACCTTTAAAAGAGGAACAAGGAACATGCATGGAAGCAGTGATGGACACTTGCTGTACCTGTATCTTGGAAGCAAGAAATGACACCTGCTGAACAAGTTCTTCAAACCCAGAAGCAGAGTCAGTGACAGGGCCAGGAGCTCGAGCAGGCTTCATCCTACTGGAGTCTAGGTTATGGTGTAAGACCCTGAAGTGTTAGCAATACTGCACTTCTTTTTCCCTGTGGTATATGCAACCCCTCTAAGATKGATCAATATTTCAGACATTCATCTAACAGCTAATTCCTCCTAAGGTATGGGTAGCCTGGGCAAAGAAGTAAAAGAAAAATATTAACCAGATGATAGATTTTGTACAGATTATTTTGCATTGTGTTGTCAAACACTAAGGAATTATAAACTAGAAACTATTGCTCATGAGGCCAACCTGAAGCAAGTTCTAAGTTGTACGACTGGAGTGACCACATGAAAAAAGAGAACATTTTGCTCTCTCATTTTCCAACAGAGTATTTATGAGGAGGAAAATATTCTTTCATATTACTGAAAAACAATCAGGTTATTTAAACTGTCAATTTAAAGCTATACGCTAAGAAGGACCAGAGGCTTCAGGCATCATTTCTTGCTGAGAAACAATCTTTGACTGACCCGTGCTGGTCAATAATGACAAATGGCCAGAGGAAGCCGTGTTATGAAGTCCTGTCTCGATGTATTGTAGCATTTGCCAGCAAAAACATCTTCCTTTACTCTTTGTCAGYGCTCTGGAGGGTGTTTATGTCAATACTACATAACTGCGCCTGCTTTGAAGGCTCCCCGGGAGTGCTGTGTTCTGTCAGAGCCTCCACGGATCCTGTGTGGATGCCCGCGGTGCCAGCGGCTCCGCAGCCTGTGCTGGATATCTGGGCAGTGAAGTGCTGGAGGGCAGATGGGGGTGTGGAGAAGTGTCCATAGCCCATGTYAGTCCCGTGGCACTAACAGGGAGTTAGCAGGTAACATGAGGGGGCTGAAGGCTGGCATTTTGGCACACTCCGAGGTGCTGGCGGCACAYGTGGGGCACGGCAGTGCTCTGTGGGGACAGGAGAGGGACACACACGGCTGCTGTGAGATGTGAGGCTGTGGGGCGGGCGGGTGCGGGACTCCCCGGCGGAGGGCAGCGGGTGCAGGAGGAGGTGCAAGGCCTGGCAGGTGGGTGAGAGGCAGCGAGTGGCAGTGCGTGCAAGGTGAACAACATGGCGATGGTGCCGGCAGCACCACGGGGCACCTGCGCTGCAGGAGGAGACACCCTGCAGGCAGTAACTCCATAGGTGCCAGTGAGTCACACTCTACTGCTTTGGAAAAGGAAAAAAAAAGGAAAAAAAAAAAAAAAAGGAAAAGGCAGCTGCCAGCAGTGGGTGTTCAGGCACGGCGTGCTGCGAGGCGGCTGAGGGCGGCGCAGCGAGCGCGCCTCACCGTCCCCGGCAGCCGCGGGGCTCGGCAGCTGCCGTCCCCTCAGCCGGCAAGGGCGATCGCGGCAGGTCGGCCGTTGCGGCCGTTAACGGCCGCGGGCCGCTGATGTCAGCAGCGCGCGGCGTTTAGGTGCCCGCGCCGATCGCCTGACTCCAGCGGGGCCCGCGGGGGGGCGCGCGCCCGGCCCCGCTCCCCGCCTCCCTGCGCGCCCGCCGCCCGCGCGGCGTGACCGGCGGCGAGAGCGAGCGCGTGACGGCGCCCAACGGCCGCCCAACGGCCGCCCAACGGCCGCCCCCGTCGCCTCCTTCTGCTTGCCGCGCCGCGCAGAGGCGCCGCCGCCAGCAGCCTCGTCCCGGGCGGGCGGGCGGCGCGGGAGCAGCCGCCGCCGCAGCGGCCGCCATGGAGCCGGAGCGCGAGTGCCGGGTGCTCTCCATCCAGAGCCACGTCGTGCGCGGCTACGTGGGCAACAAGGCGGCCACCTTCCCGCTGCAGGTGAGCGCCGCCGCCGCCCCTGCGGCCCGCGCAGGCTGCCCGGGGGTATCGGGGGTTGGCCGGGCGCTGGGCGTTCCCCGCGGGTACCGCTAGCGTGGTCCCTTCGGGACAGCCGCTTGGGGCTGTGGTGCAGCGCGGAGGCTAAATTGGTACTAATTATAATAATAGCAAGAGCCGCTTCTCACCGCCGGTGGTGTGGCGCCTGGCGGGCGCTGGGAGCTGTCGCTGCACGGAGCGAGGCGAGTGGGCACAACCCAGCACCCCGCGTGGAGGCCACCGCCGGCCCCGGGAGCTCGGCCTCCACCGCTCCTCCAGCCGTGCCCCTTGGCGGGGAGCAGGCCTGGGGCACGCGTGCGTGACCGACCTCCCCTGTCCTTGCCTGTGGCGGGACTTGGTGCCTCTCCTCGCTCCGGGCAGGGAGACAGCAGCAGGGTCCAAGGGCCGCGGGGTGGCTGCGGGACGCCGTGCCAGGGCAAGCGGCTGGCATGTCCCCGGGCTGGGCCATGTAATCGGATCCTGGCCCCTACGGCTGTCCTGTGCCGAGCCGAGGGCTGCTCGCCACGGTCCCGTGTGCTTTGAGGCGACCTTGGGTACCCCTCATTTCTTGTCTCTCGCAAGTGCCTTTGTGATAAAGGGGCTCACTGAGGGCCTGGCCCTGAAGAGGTATTTGCTTCTCGACAGGAGCGTGGCTGAACTAGGCTCACCCTCCAGGAGGTTCATTGCCAGAGCAGTGTGTTGTCACACGCGTTATCTCCGTGTGTGTTTAGCAATGGGTAGCATCCCTTCGCTAGACACAAGAGATGGGATAGGTGATAAATAGATTTATGTGTCTAAGAACAGTCTTGCAACCAGCTACAAAGCACAACCTTTATCATCATCCACTCATGATGAAATCAGGTCTCTTCAGAATCAGCCTATAATCAAAGACGATGTACATATGAAATCTGTGTATGGCAGTAACATCTCAGAATGTGGAAACACAGGTCTGAAAGACTGTCATGATCTGYAGGCCGACTCGTCTTGCTTTCCAAGCGATACAAGCTTGCCTTGCAGCCTTTCATACTCGAGCTACCTTATGCAATGATATCTAAAATGTGCCTCTCCTCTGTCAAGCTATTTTTGTGAYAGCTGTAGCCCTTATTCTAGAAATCTCCAGCCTCTTAAGCTCATGCCTTCGTGTTAATTACAGGTTAAAGGTTCGCTTTACTGTTTCGAAACTCAATCCTGTGGTGGCTGATGACAGTCTGCATAGGACTTGGTGAATTAATTCTCTAAAGTACTTTTAGTTCCTTGGCAATTATGACATTGTAAAATGCTTCAGTTCTTCAAGAAGTGCCTGTTGGTGTGGTAGCTCTGTTCTGTTTGGAAGCTGCAAAACTTTCACTGATTGAAATTCCTCAGGGAGCAGTACAGCAGTAAGTCACTGGGATGGGGAAGAAGGGAACAGCTATCGCTAGGTGATTTTTACATAGACAATGAAATTGTGCTGGTTTGTTGGAAGGCTACTTAAAATGATTCTGGTGGAACATCAGAAATAGCACTGATATCAAGTGAAGTTCTCCCCCTTTTTAAATGTATATATGTATATATATTTTAAGTAAGGAAAGGAATTATAAACCTCATGCCAATCTAGAGGATGGGTACCAATCCTCTGCCATATTTATGCCTGTTCTCGCTCTCCTTRTTACCTCCGTGTTCTAAACCAGTGATGGTGAAATGAGGCTTCGTTCTCAGCTCATTTGTCCTAAGCTTGCCCAACAAGGTATCYTTAGATATGGGTAGAGGACTTAGGAGGCTGTCTTCTGGAAGGCCGAAATCCTGGCAGAACAATTCAGAAATCTAAGTTTGGACAGCAGCATCCAAATGAAAAACAGACTTAGTTTCAACTGGATCTTATAGTCTTCTGCAAAAAGGGCAGTTGTATTTGAATGGTTTGATCTTTGATAAAAGTCTGTGAAATTATCATCTATGAAAAATAGCCATTTTAGAAATGCATACAATAGAGAAGAACTCTTTTGTGTCTTTTCTTAATCAGTTGTCTCTGCCTTGTCAGGCTTCCATTACACTAAAAATTAAACTATTTGAGAAGATTTATTGGAAGACTTTTTCTGTGAATTATGGAAATTGTATCTCCGGACTTCGAAATAATGGAAGTGATATAGCTGCATGAAAAATGTTAGAGCCCTTTTTACTATTTCARTGCTAAGTTAGTTAATTTGGAAGCTCAAAGCACATAAAGAAATGGGCCTTAGAAGAAGCTTTTCCAGACTAAAAAACTGACAGGACATCAGTCCTCAGCTGTGCTTTGAATTGTTTATGTCACAATTTAAAATATTTTTGTATTCCATAGTGTTACTGCCTCTAAATGTTCTTAAGGGTCTCTTTTTTTTATGATCACAAGTTATTTCATAATAACTTAGTTATTATGGACTCTTAGTTTGGAAGGAGCTAAGGAAGTAGTTTAGGATTGACCAGCATTTAATTGAGAACGAGTGGGTATGCATTAACTGGATGCATGAACCTAGAGGTTTGATACTGTCTGCCAGATAAATAGCTTGRAAATGCCAAGGGATGTTTGCGCAACCTGAGTAAGGGTTGTCATAGTTTTCTTATAAAAATGCATATGTCCACCATATCATTCATCATTACTTTTAACACGTATTCTTCCTTCAGGAATCTCTTATCATTAATTTTCAATAGCATTTTAAGCTATCTATCTTGCTGACCTGATCTACTGCTGAATGATAGGTAGCTTAGGGAGAATGTGGCAATAAAGGAAAAGGTGGCAAGTCCAGGCCTGTAGCCCTCCTCAAACCTCGGGGTGCATACCCAGGGTGAGTTTCCGCATTTCTTTTCTGCTTAATCCTGACCATCAGTAGACAGCTGAGTTTATTACTAGTATCTGCATAATAAAAATGTCTGCCCTGAAGTATAGGACACAACTATAAAAACTTCTACCAACACATTAATTTTGAAATACATTTTTATTTCTTTTGGTTAGTTGCTTGGTTCCTTCTTTTTTGGTTTTTTTTTTTTTTTTTTCCCCTCTTGACTAGAAAGAGCTATCTGCTCAAGGGGTAGTAAAGACAAGAGATTCGCAGTATTCTTGGACTTGATGTCTTCAGTGATTATTTTTTTCAGGGAAAAAAGAAGCAGTAGATCTGCATTTTTAGTTCTTTCTTAATTGTAAAAGAGATGGGAGAACAGCTTTTGACCACCACAAGTGGAATTTTTTGTGGTATTCAAGGATAGTCTTAAACTACATTGTTCAGTCACAGGTGTATATATATTTATATATGTGTATACATATATATTTTTATATGCTGAGACCAAAACCATCATAAAACTTCTTCTAATGATCATCTGTTGTAGTTAGCAAAAAGGGCGCAGGCTTGTTGTTGCTTTCTGTCTTTTTTTTTTTTTTTGATCAGTGTAGTTAGATGTAGTAAGTATTCTTACAGATACAGAGAGCAACAATCTTTTAAGGTAATAGTTTGTTCTGTTCTTCAAAAGATAACCTCTGTTGCATTGATTATTTGAGTCAGAAGGGATGAATCAATCAGAAGTCTTTACACAATAACACTAAAAATGAAAAGAAGGACTTGCTGGCTAACCCTTAGTTTCATTATAGTTTCATTACAGATGAAAGGCTGGGGAAAGAAAAGCCCTATCCTTTAAACAAAAAATAAATGCAGAGTTAGTGTATCTTCTGTTTGTAATATCCAAAGATTGCTGTAAAGTAAAGGAGGAGAAAAAGAAATTGTGGCTGTAGATTTTGGGTTAGGAAGATGCTTGCAGAAACATTGCTCCTTATCTTGGGTATTGTTTTTGTATGCAAGACAAGGAAGTGAAAGATGAAATAAAAAATAACAAAACCCAGCCTTCTGGGAAGGTTCATTTGTGGTTATGTAAGCAARATTTTATTGACATGTCAATGGCAGTATGTTTCATTGTGAAAGTCTAGTGAATGCAGGTGTGCAGAATAAGGCCCCGAAAGAAACCTGTAACCTGAAAGGTCCTAGAAAGGTTACTTCTTGTCAGAGTCTTGATTTCTGTTAAAAGGATTTGACAGGTTCTTGTCAAGATCAACCCACTTATAAACAGTGACCTTTGACCCTCCGCAAGCTTTTAGGTACCGTAAAAAATTTGATCAACTTTGGAGAAGACTGTAAGCGATGGGCGTTTGATCAGTATGGTAAGAAAGAAGGAAAAGAAAAGGACACGACTGAGCGAGGGCAAGAACTGCAGTGGAAGTCCTGAAAAAAGAGGGAATGGGGTGATGTGAGGCGGAAGAAGGGCAGGGAGTGGAACAAAGGTGGAAAAAAGACGACTTACTGAATTAGATCCACCTCCACACTGAAGTTGCTGTGTTGACTGATTACATGTGCCCCAGCAGAAATCTGGCCAGTTCATCATGTTGTGGCTTGGCAGCAGTGGCCTAACCTGTCAGAGCAATAACGTATTGCTGAACTGAAATTTGGCGGAACTGGGCTTCATTCAAGATATGTATTTGTAGATGCTAATTCATCTGTGACTCCTCCAAGCTTCAGTTCCCTTAACATCTGATAGAATTATGAACAGAGCAGGGGAGAGAACTGTGATACTCAAACCTATTATGTTTAATAATAATTAATTATTAGTGGTACTTTTTAAACAAAAGGGCAACGGCAAAGAAACCCTCGCTTCCACATCTGTCCTTCTTTGTAAATTATGAGCTTATCAACAAGTTTGCGCTGAAGAAATGCATCCATGATGGTTAGAAAAATCATAGAAATGACCATAGAAAAATCACAGAAGTGATCATAGAAATGCACCCATGGTGATTTGACTTTGCTGTCTAGGGAGTGCAAAGCGCCCCTTGCCAGGGGAATGCAGGGGAGAGAATTGGGATTAGAGTGCACCGAGAAATGGTAGGATCTTCCCTGCTGCAGGGTGAAAGCTCTYGGGCTACTCTCTGATCTGTAGAGGCAGCTGTTTCCAAAAGCAGAGAGAAATGATTT